GCATATATACTGTTTTAACTAAAGTTAATTCAGAGAACAAATGCTGGCAAAAGACAAACAGATAAGCAAGTGTGCCAGAATGCAAACATTTTTTATTTAGGTATGTTGATTTAAATCTGAAAAAGTGGTAGAGAAAACCGATCATTTTAGAGGCCTGTGTTCCACGTTGTCATGTAAACTACAAGTGAGATCCATTGTTTGAGTTCCCCAGAGACGAAAGGTGCCCTTACACTGCACGATTATCGTACAAGAATTGTGGAAAATCCAGCGATTGTACGATAATCGTGCAGTGTATGGAAGGCGTGCAACCGTTTCTAATGTACAGCCGCTCAACTTTGGTTTTTCGTGCATGTTCGAAAACCAGCCGAGAATCGTACGATTTTCGGCTGGTTTGAATCATGATCGTGAGATAACTGCCACACGGGCCGGTGTGAGCAAGCGCACACTGCCCGTTCAGCATTGCGGTCATCGGAAGAGCGCCCCTCAACGGGGGACGGGCTTGCGATGATCGCAAGTATGGCCATCTTAACAGGTAAAATCTCATTTATTCACTGTTGGCAATGAGGCAAATGAACCATCTTAAATCTTTATAAATGGCACCCTTAAAGCTGAACTCCATGCAAAAAAGGAAATAAAAATTGAACAGCCTATTACTATAGTTACATTATATACATATTATTATACATATTATTGTAGTTACATAGTTACCTAAAAACATAGTTCAACCTATGTGTGTGTGTTTTGTACATGTCCCCAACTCTAATGTGGAATTGTTCAAGAAACTTTTGGACGATTTCTTAAGGGACCGTAATATACAGGGGTACAGGTACTCCTAGAATGAGATCCTAATAGGTTGGACTTGATGGACTAATGTCTTTATTCAACCTCAAATACTATGTAACTATCTTAGGGCCCATTCACACCAGAGTGTTGTGCTAATCGCACGTTACTGTGCATTTAGCTCATACTATTGCACAATGCACCTAGCATGCAGTAACGTGTGCCAGGTGCACTGCCATTTATTTAATTGGCACCCCAACACACCTCCTAGCGGCCATTAATTGCAGCACACGGCCGCAAGGAGTTGCCACTGAAATTGATGGCAACTTACGTAGTCTATGGTACCACACGCTAGGTGCGTTGTGTGGTAGCGTGTGCTATATGCGCAGTAATGTGCAATTAGCGCAGACCTCCAGTGTGAATGGGCCCTAAATATTTTTTGAAGTTATCACTGCTGTCAGCTGGGAACCTGCAATGTTGGCGGTTACCAGGGCCCCCTTCCTCCTGTCTGGACCCCCCAAGTGGCAGAATGCTAGGGCCCAGTTGCCGCTGCAACGATGTGACCCTGGTAGTTCTGCCACTGTATAGAGGGACTACAAATCACAACAATACATTATACAGCAATGCAGAATAATACAGTCAGCTATGGAGCACTACAAATCCCAGCAATACATTATACAGCAATGCTGAACAGTATATGAATTGGACTCCGGACTTAGTAACACACTGGTTTCAGGACCTAGTAACGCACTGGACTTAGGACTTAGTAACGCACTGGATTCAGGACTTAGCAACGCACTGGACTCATGACTTAGTAACGCACTGGACTCAGGACCCACCTGAGATCCTGCAGAGCCCACCTGAGACCCCACACAGACCTGTGACCCCACCCCCTGTAGCGACGCCAATGTATATATTCCTCATACTGCAGTGTATTTTGTATATCGTGATTATATCTCTGCTTAGGCATCTCTACTCTAACGGAGAACAAGTTAATTTTCTGCAGTAGCTCTTCATACCTCAGGCCCTCCATCCCCCTTATTAATTTTGTTGCCTTTAATGAACTTTTTCTAGTGCAAGGACATCCTTCTTGAGGATTGGGGACAAAAACTGAACCACATCAGGGGTGTGGAAATTTTTGAAAAAACTACTTGTCCAAGAGCTAAAGCGGGGGTCATATCTACTTCTCCTTCATGACAATCTATTTGTCCCAATACAAAAAAAATTGTTTTAAAAGTTTAAAACTAGGGACGCACCAATACCAGTTTTTGGGTATCGAGTACAAGTACCGATATTTTGCTTTCAGTACTCACTGAGTATCGGTGCTTCCGTTGGCATGGAGCAGGCTTCCCGGGCAATCAGGAAGCCGGGCAGCGGGTAATGAGATGCTACTCGGCTTCCTGACTGCCAGGGAAGCCGACTCCATGTTGTTTGGCCGGCTTGATTGTGAAAGGTTGGGAAGCCGGTTTCCCGGCCAATCAGCATCGAACCAGCTTGCTAGCCAATCAGGAAACCGAGCGGAGGGTAATGACCTGATGGGCCGGGAAGACGGCTTGTTCTGATTGGCAGCCAATCAGCAAGGAGCTGGCTTCCTGGCCAATCAGGAAACTGGGCAGCGGGTCATAAGTCACTGCCCCGCTTCCTGATTGCACCGGAAGCTGGCTCCATGTTCCCCTACGGCACTGCCGGTCGGAGGAAATCTTCTTCTGACCGGAAGTTCCAGTATTGGGGAAGGTATCTGAGCATTTGGGCGAGTACAAGTACTCGCCCAAATACTCCTTATCTGTGCATCCCTAATCAGAACTGTATTCGACTGTGCTAAATAGCGCTTCTCATTGGTCAGCGTGGACTGCTCTGGACAGTAAGGGGTAAGGACACCTGTACTGGCGGAGGGTAAGGGCTGTTCACAGAAAGTTAAGTATAGCTGGCGGGGGGGGGGGGGGGGGGGGACGGGG